CCTGTCCAAAGAATGCCTCCTGTCCAAAGAAATGAAACAGTGAGTGCCATTCTTTCCTATGGCTCGGCAGAAAAGCAGTTTAAACCTTTCCTGCTCAAGTGCAGTAGGCTCTGCTGAAAGAATCAGAAAGAGCAGATTGCTGTGGTGGGTAAGCAGGCCCACACCCAGCCACCAAGGAGCAGTTGCGCTGCTCTGTGAGCAAACCAGCTCCAAATAATGCTTGCCAAGGCTTTCCTGACTCCATCCCTGGAGATGGCCCTAAAGCCTGCCCTATCATAACATCAGGGAGTGCTGCTGTCCAGAACATTCCCTCATGCTGGTGTGCTCACACTTACAGTGCTACTTTAATTCTTGTTCTTATTAATGCTGACATCCTTCCTGGTCATTTTCCTCTCACATTTGACCATGCTTAGTCCTTTTTAACCTCTCTGCGTAGATCAATCCTTCTCAGTGCTATGAATAAATAAAAGCCTTCTGTTCTCATCAACAAAATGGTCTTTTAACAGTTGCAAGAACAACACAATAATCACTTGGAAAAAAAAAACAAAACAAAAGCAGCTAATATTTGATGTATTTAAAAATCTCCACTCCAGCTATTTTCTACATTTTGGAAATAAATCCTTCTTTAAACAGAGAAAGCAGTGAGAAAATTACTGGAGAGCACAAGCAGCAGTGGGTGTCTGAGAGGGACCTGCTAGCCCATCAGAAATGCTCACCACACACAAGGCACCAGCGGGGCTGCCAAAGCAAGCTGAACTTCAGTTACAAACATCTAAGGAATGCGAATAAGCTGTAAGAGCTGCAACCTTTCCCTCTGCTTTGATCTGACATTAAACATAACTCGAAAGTGGGAAATTCAACAGCTTCAAAGAGGGTCAAAGAGTCAGAGGTCTCCATGTACCAGGACAGGTAGAGGGTTTATTCTGCCTGGAGAAAGCAGGAGGTTGGAAGTGAATCTAGTGGCTAGGGACTGCTGCCAGGTTAGGGCTAAGTATTTCTCCTTCCTCATCTTCACATAACACAGCCACAATACCTGTAAGAAGCTCTAGCAACTCCAAGTGAAAAAGAGGGCTAGTTTCAACTACTGTTAAAAAGTGTAAGAGAAAAGTAAACACATTTTTGTGGCTCCTGCATCTTGGTAATGCATTTTTGACTGCTGCTAGTTGACACTAGGGCTTTTGAAGGTTAAGTTGTGGTTGTTCTGGGCTCTGGCCATGCAAATGTAACCATAGACCATTAGATCTCAGCAAATGAGATGTTATAGGAAGAGAGAAGAGGATAGCTGGAACATCATGTGCTTTACCAAGTGAAAATGCTTGGTATGAGAAACAAAGCCACATTCTCTATCCTTTATTCTTGTTTTCCTTGGCTCCCAGTTTTACAGATCCCTAAAAATACTGCATTATAGCTAAAGGAGCTGCAATCGGCAGCTGACTGAAGAATTACAATATCGCTCCAGTTCGATGAATCCCCACAGGTATTCCTTCTAAGAGAGCTTTCCTAAATTGACTGCCAATAACCTAATGTGTTTGTCTGTCTCTTTTTTCTGTCATCAGAATCTTACTGTAATAAAATAATAGCAACATAGAAACAAAATTGAAAAAGTGAGGTGTCATTTCAAAATATCTGAACTTGCAGAAAGGTACCTGACTCGGCAGCCTTAACTCTGCCTTCATGAGGCTGCATGCCAAGCAATCCCAGAAATCATGGGAAATGGTTATCTGCCTGTTAAAAGCACCATATAAGAGACCACAGAAAAAAATGCTGTATTACACAGAAATTCTATTTTCCTCTTTCATGGGATTGATATAAACCAAAGCCATTTAATAATGTTAGATTAAAGGTAAGGTTAAGAGGTCTTCTGGAATTCAATTTCCACCATTACCACAGAAAATTTCTAATACATATCTATGAGGTCCAGCAGTTTTGTGATTACAATGAAATACCCCAAAGAGTAAATGTTCAAATCTTGACATACTAAGAGAACTGAGTCAGTGATACCTTCTGCAGGGCAATAAGGTACTAAGACACAAATTGGGGTGAATAGTGTTATACTCTGTGAAGTACCAACCTTTTTGCTGAAGCCTTGAATAAGAGGAAACACCTATGTAGAGCAGCCTTTGGCAATATTTAGAGCTGCTGTGTAAGCTCCTACAGACTCAGCAATAAAAATGGAAATTATTTTTCCTTCTTTTGACTGAAGGATAGACACAATATAAATCAGTCAAGTCACGCATATTACAGCCCTAGTAACTTCCCAACTCATTTGGGAAATCATGCTAGCCACACTGTGGAACTGCATTAATGACCTCATGGATAATGTGCCTGTATTGGGAATTTTATCCATGAAAATATCAGAACCAGAATAGATGTCCAGGTCAGGAAATCTACGCTGAACTCATATGACCAAGAGCCACTGTATGAGATGGAGAACAGACAGCTACTATTGTGCTAACACAACGGAATAATTAATATTACCCACAGATACCCAAATGACAGGACACAAAGGGGGAACACAGTGCTGAAGTGACTTGATAGATAAAACGGTGGAGAAAAGCTATAAAGTGCTTCTGACTGAAGCAGTTTTGGCAACGGAGGTGTTTTTGTCCTTCAGCTCTCTCTACCATCCAGCTCAGCCTGTAACTTGCATTCCATCAAACAAATTTTATCCTCCATGCTTACGTCTTTATGTGCAAAGATTATGTTACGGAGCCTAAAAGATGTTAATTGTCTTTCTAATTTACAGTGAATCAAGGCTTAGTTAAATCAGCTCTTCGTGTAACACAACTGTGTTCCCATTGTTCTGCTTTCAGGTTCCTCTTCACCTTCTCCTCTCTGCTGATGAGGAAAACCAAAAGGAATTTACAAAGAAAACTGTAGGTCTGACAAGGAGAACGAAGTTGACAACCAGCCTGGCAACCAGATTTGTACTGATTAAACTAATTAATCCAGCAACATCAGTACATTAAAAAAAAAAAACAAACACAAAAACCGAAACAAAAACTAAAACAAGAAACCCCACAAAATATTTACGCTTCTCAAGTGAAAAAGATATTCAAGGAAAAAAGAGGGCAAATAATTACACAGCAGAAAACATGCCTGACAGGAACCTGCACACCAAAGACCCTTCCCCACCAACAGAAGAGGCATTCTCTGTATCAAAACCATGTGATAAATACAGTTTTGTCATTTTTTTCTAGGTTTGTTGCTTCAAATATTGTTATATGAGCTCTACTTCTTACAACCTTTATCAAGCTTCAAGGGAATGAGGAAATAAGGCACAGCATTATACATGCACAGTCTCTCTCAGGCTCATGGGGACTCTGCACAAGTGGTTTGTGTGTCCTGTAGTTCAGTTACTTTTTGTATGGACTGTCTGTGGTCTGTTAACAGCAGCTGCAGGGTGGGCAGAATTGGCCTGTTCCTTTCCATTTCCCATGAACTTTATTCCATCCAGATGAACAGAGGGGGATGGAGACACTTTCTAATGGGATTACTGCAGACTCCTGCCAGCCTACCTCCAACTCAGAGGAAAGTGTATAGAAATGAATGAATCAACACCTGGAAATATTGTGCCTACACAGGGAGAAAGATACTCAGGTGGTCAGCAACAATACTTCTGCACAGGTCTACTGTCATTGCAAAGCCAGCCCCCAACATGGCATGTGATCAGTTGTTCAGAAAAATCACATGGGTTTTATTTATTTTCCCTGCAAGGTGTCCTGAGGATCAGGTATTCTCCTCTTCAGAAAAAATATAGGTGTTGTTTCTGTGCATCAAGTGCAGTGCTGTGACTGAGAGTGTCACAAGAGCAAGTGTGAGGGGAAGCCTTGGTACCTGGATTCAGTAAGGTTTCACCTTTCCTCTCTCTGACTAAATGGTGCAATGACTCACATGCATTTGGGATCTTCAAGCTCAAACTAAGCAGTCCTGTCTTTGAGGAGACCTAAGGGCAGGTTTGAATCTTGGCTTGTCAGCCAAGTAAATTGCAGTATACTTTCCAATGTCTGTGAATGATCTGCCCAAAGGACATCAGATTTACATCAACTGATATTCATCCCATTTCAACCTGTCAGCTCAGAATTTAGTCTTGCCTCTTGTCCACTGCCATCATTAATCCCTCTGATTCATTTTGCTAATATCCAGACTGGATCTTGCAGGGAGGCAGTGGCCTGCAACAGTAAAATCAAGGCAAAGATTTGCAAGCACAAGGAAGTCATGAAGTTGCAAGGGTGAGGTGTGACAGAAGGCTATCAAACAACCAGGACAGATGGTTCAAATATGTTATTGAGATGTCCCAGTCCATGCACTGCAGGAGATCTGGTGATATCCAGCATATCTATGTCACATCATGGAGCAAAGAACAGAGACCTTCAAGCAAGAAGAAGTAGGGACAATAAGCGCACATGGCCCAGCATCACCCCAACCTACTAGCTGAGGGCCAAAGGGGTGTTGCTGTGTTATCACAGCCTTGCACACACTCAGGCTGGTTCCTCATCAGAGCTGAGCTGTGCACAGACAGCTCCAGTGTCTCTGCTGGACTATGGAGATGTGTCCAAAGATGTTTGTGATGTCTCCGTGCCTCTCCATGTTCCAAGGATGCAGCTGTCTAGTTGTATCCATAAATGAAAGTTATGCTGACATTTCAGTGTCCCCTCTGGGATCATTTAGGACACCAATCTAGTCCCACTTCCATAGTGGATAATACCACTTCACCCCCAAGAGGCAGGTAAAAAGAGAAATAATCCCTTACAGAGAGGTTAAAACAGCACCAGCAGTAATGTCAAGGGCAAGGCTGAGGAAAACTCAAGGCAAACAGGGATAGCTTTAAAAGATTCAACATGCAGATCTTTACAAAGCAACAGATGATCCCTTTCTCATTTATGTCTAGTTGTAAATATTTTATTGACTCTTCTCTCAGTGCTGAATAGCTTTAACAGCATTTACTTCAGTAAAGGCCTGAGCTGCTGTAAATCAAGTACAGATTTAGGGCTACTCACCATGGTCATGGGCAAACACAAACAAGTTAAGTCCTGTCAGCTTCTGGGCCAAGTCATCATAGCGGCCGCAGTGCTCCCCAGCGCCGTGAGCGATGAACACGAGGGCCCTAAATGGAGCATCAATGTATAAATCATTAACGTGGCAATCAACCAACAAAGGCTTCAGAGCTGCAAGTGAAACCAGCGTATTCAATTCAGCAACAGCATTTCAGACATCAGCAAATACGAGGCAAATACATAATGGCTGAGAGGGTTTGAACAGAGAGGAAACCATTGTCATCCTCCATTGACTTGGTCTTCACCAGGTGGTAGCAGGACAGACTACATGGAAGTCAACTGCTCATGGGACAGAGCCACTGTGGTCTGCTGCAAGTTAAATGTGAGTGAGTCCCTGAGCTGGATAACTCCATCTTGGGCTTGAGGTGCCTACACTCTCCTACAGTGTAAGTGTTGCCATTTATTTCTTTTGCAACTGGTATTTCTCTGTGGATTCAAATACAAATATTGTCCTCAACTTTATAACTTGCAACATTGATGCTCGCGAGTACCCCAAGATGAAATTTCAGCCAAGAACTTTGGTTGGACTTTGGAATTTTATCTTTTGACCCAGCTCTGGTAATTTTACCATTCCAGTTTCTGCCCCAAAACAGTTGCTTCGCTTTCGTGATTAAAGTGACTCTTACATAGCTCTGTAAGGCTGCAGACAGAGACAATAAAAAATACAGTCTGCAGACACTTATTTTTGCAAATACTTATCTTTGAAGATTCCAGTTTTATGAATAATACTTTACTTTTCCTGGAATGGCATCAAGTGAGAGTGACTGAACTTGAACAAACCTCCACAGTGTTTTTACTAGATAAAGTTTGTATAGACTTAGACTAGAACTATAGCAGAAGTAGCAATGAAATTGCAGAAGTTTTGCTGGATTTGACAGGTGACTATTTAAAATCCAGCTTTAGCAACATAAACATAACTTGTTTGTTTAAAAGAACCATTTGTCATTGCAACATCAGCAACCACAAAATCATTTGAAGGCTACAAGTTTGACATTTTTAGTACATGAACACTGAAATATTACATGAACTGACAAAATAAAATAATGACAGCAGTTAAGAGCTAGTGAATTCCTCAACTTTATTTTGACTGAGGTTTTGAATACCTTTTTAGACTGTATTCACTGCAATAAACTGCAATAAAATCTTAATATATTTAAACTTTAAAAACATGATGGATGGTGTAGAAACTCCTGCTCTAGCTCTTTGATTTGCACCTGCTTCAAAGTGTTTTCTCAGCTAGACAACTTGCAAGAGCATCCATTGAAACCAGAAGGATTGTGCAGAGCAGCACCACAAAAGCAGCAACACAGAGATGCTCTGGTATCTTGTCTAACACCAATTAGCAAGGGTGAGGTTAGGTCATGCACCATATTTAACTTGCTGTGCCTTACAAATCGTCTTAGTGTCACTGAGAGTTTCAAAACAATCTGTGTGGAGCAGTTATTCCTTCCTTTGTCATCGTCCCTGGTCAATAGGTTTGTCAAGTTATCTGTGCATCTGGCAGACAGACTGATTTTAGGAGTGCAGGGTCTATTAAAGCTCCAAACACTGAAGGAATTGAGACATTGCTCATTCCACAGTGGAGAACATTAACTTTCTGCAGCAGAGACATCATAGCTTTATGTGTCCCACCTGTCCCAGACACAGGCAGCACAGCAGAAATGCTTCAGCCAGTGTTGGAAGAGCAGACCATGATTCTGTACATGCTCCTGAAAACTGGAAGCACCATCCAACTGCTTCTGTCTCCACCTACACCAAATGGTACCTCAGCCCTCGTCCTGGGCCACCTGAAGAGACCTCACCGGGGCTGGCAGACCTGCCCAACATTCAGAAACGCCACAGGCGGTGAAGCAAAGCCAGGCTGTTAACCCACAGGCTCTGGACTCTGCAGCACAGTGCACAGTGGCACTGCCTGAACGGGACACTGATGCAGAAAATAAGGGAATGTGAGAGAAATTCCCGTGTACCCATCACCTTGATATCTAACAGACTCAGACAGGTTAGGTCTCTCTGCCATTTACCTCCTTGACAGCTTCCCTGCTCAGTATCTTACTTAAGCCCTCAGTTACTCTTTAGAGGACCTATATTTGTTTTTGCTGACTAGGTAGAGAGATTAAGGTGTAACTTGGCTGACTGAATAAAGCCCTTCATTTCTCAGGGAAATATTATTTGAATTTATGCACTGAATGGCATAAAGTGAACGAAACCTAATGGGAAGCTCTTTCAGGAAATTCTTGGTTATTTCATCCCCTGACAACAAAGCTCTCATTTTGCTTTCATTCACACTGAACAGAACCATGACTTAGCCTGTCAGCATCCTCCTAGATGCTCAGACCTCTCATTAGCTGTGAAACCAGTGAGAAAAGAAAAAACCTCAATTCTTCAGAGAGGCAAGGTGTTCCTGTGACTCTCTTCTCACCTAGCACACAGCTGCCAGAACTGAGCAGAACTGAGCCTTTGCACACCGCAGGGAACAGATCTGGGTTGTTATTTGTCTGCAAAATACTGAATAAAATCCCTGAGCCTGTTTGTGGCTTAAGAGCCCTAAAGACAGCAGTTGTTAAAGAGACTTAGATACTTTTGAAAGTTTTGTCCTATCAAAAACCATAAACAAGGAGTAAAATTTCCAGATTGTCATGATGAAACAAAAGTAGCCTGTTCTGTTGTTCAATAAAAAGTGAGAGTGGCTTTACTGACTTACAACTAGGTCACATCTACACAGCTCTTTAGCTCCAGCTTTCAGGTCTAAGCACAGAGGCCATACATTAAACACAATAGCTTGAAAAATTGAAATTAGTATGAGTATCATCTGAACAGTGATTGAAAGATCTGGCTCTTTCGCTTAATCCTTCATTTTCCATTACAAAACAAATTTAGATTTGGCAAATAATACCTGAAGGCAGTATAACAAATGCATGGTTCAATGTATTTTCACTAGCAAGCTGCCAGGAAAATGCAACGAGTGATTAGATTGACTGACAGCAGTTCTTTACTGTATGTAAACATTTTTGCAGACATCCCTGCTCTGGAATCACAGCCTGCTTCTTCCTTACCACAGTGGCAGGAATAACAGAATATCAGAGACTGCTTTCAACAGACTCATTTAAAATTAATACAGGAATCCTGCAGGGTTTAAGATTTTGCAGGACTGCGGTGCCTCTGTGTGCAGCCTCAATGAGAATTTTGTTTAAAAAAGGTTTGTGTACTGGCCATATATCAAACTGGTACTGGGGAGAAATTTCTTCAATTCCAGCTCTTGAAGTTGTGCTGCTGAAATCACTGGAATTTCAAACATATCAGGTAGAAAACATATTTCACAGCCTGCAAAGCTTTCTGTTGGAGACTGACCTGTGCCTGAATACACACTAATTCCAATCTCCCTGACCACAGACAGGGAAACCTGATGTATCTTTGGATGCTCCAGCTGGCTTTGGCTGGTGGAACTGTGATTGCTGAACATCTCGAAACGGCATTACTTTGGCATCTGTTCAAGAAAGCACCTACTCACACAACAGCACGGCTCCCCCACACTCAGCAGGTGTGTCTCCACACAAACCCAAGGTGTGAGCTGAACATGAGTAATTGCCCATGCACTTGCTCTCACCCAACTGGTGCAACAACAATTGTGGCTATTAAAGGGAACCAGTTTATTGACTGCTGTTTGCAAAAGCAACAGATGGTTTTCACAGATCCCTTGCCCTTCCCATAGCCTTCACCACCTCCTCCTCCTCCTCCTCCCTCCCCACCGCAGGTTTCTGCCTCCTGGTACTGCACAGCTTGGCAAACAGATGCAGTTGCTTATTGCAACAAGAGAGCAGGACAATATTTGTTTTCTTCTGTTTACATCAACTACTGGCTGTATTTAGTTCTCTCCCATAAGGAGGTGATGGTATACATCAGTGACCAGTCTCTGCTCCCACACTCCACTGTGCAGGTCACCCATCACCGGTATCAGCCCCTCCTATGTTGCAGCTGTGGCTTGTTAAGCCAGTAATATGCAGCAATGTCACACCTGCAGTTGGTACAAGGCACGTGCAAACACCCTTTCCTGAATCAGGAATGTTGGAGTTGGTGCAGGCCAGGTTGCAACACAAAGCCAATGCCAATGTGCACAAATCCACATGAAAACGTTGTCTTTCTGTCCTGCTTCTTGGGGAGGTCACCAGTTGATCCAAACTTTAGCTGTTTGCAGTCTTCCCTATTCCTCACTGTAATTTCACCTGCACTAATATTTCACTTCTTGTGTGGGGAGCAGCTTCACAGGGCAGGGTGGTGTTCAGGTTGCAGCTTTACACACAAAGGCAGTACCAGGTTTAGAGGTTCTCACTTTCTTTTGTGCTGGACACATGTTGCCCCTTCTGCTGTGCCAGAACAATTGTTAAGAGATGCAATTCCACAATCAGTCACAATCACATACCTGAGCAAGAGCCTCCTTGAACTGAGGCTCAGTTGTCAGAAACAAAATGAAAACACTCAGAAAGCTGTTGTGCTGTGAAACCTTGCAGGCCAGAAACACCACTCAGCACTTGGGTCCTGCTGGGTGTAAGACCCCTGTTCTTGCTTTGCTTTCAACAAAAGTCATGTTGAAGCTGAACTAAACAAAGGAGGTAGTGAGCAGGATGGTATGACTTTAACATCTTGTGTCCTCTGGGGAGAGAGCCACTACTGTGGGATCCTGTGCATGCTCTTTTATTGCCAGAAAATAACCCAAAACATTGGGATTAGACTAAAGAATGGAAAACAAACTTCCTATGACTGCATATATAAAAAATGCTATCTTTTCCACCTCATTCAAAAGCATCCCTCTTCAGAACAACGTTTAAGCGCTTGCTTAACCTCAGGAAACTTTCGTCAACACATGAAAGTCAACAGGACTTGCAAAGTACAAGATGAAAGTTACAAAAGGATTTATAAATGCTGTCCGGAATAAGGATTGATTTAATCACATGCAGAAGTGATTTCCTGAATAGAGTCCTCTCAACTTAAGCTAATACTATGTTATTCTGTGTAAGGCAACCATGCTTTTCATTTGGTCTTATGTATATTGTTA